CGAAGATTGAGGTGGAATGGATGTGAACAAGCAGTTCAGTCGAAGTGGTTCCTCCTTTTGCAGTTAGCCCTAGCACCTCGCAACCTCAGAGTTTGGCACATGATATTGATGGTCCAATGTAATGTTAGCTGGGTAGCTCGACCTTCATTGCTTCCTTGAATTAATGCTTATCGTCTTTCTTGCCTACGTTCCACGCCGGTAGTACTGTAGCCTACCGGTTTGCTTCCTTTAATGAATTCTCCTGGTTCGCCCTACTTCTAAGGCGAGATTAAGGATGTGGGTATGCCCACTACCGCCCACATGCCAGCTAGACTCTGCCCTTCAAACATGCCCAAACCTACAAAACCTTGTCGCTGGTCCTGCTTCTCTAGCTGACCATCTGCGTGACTGCCACCACATCCTAAAACCGGAACTACTTCCCACCATGCCGCATAAGTTCATTTCAACGCCTTCTTTTCAGCTCATTCTCACGAATGAAATAAGCATTTTCCCCATTCTCTAATATGTCACCTGTAAGCGTTACTAACTCTTTCCATTTCAGAAGGCTTCTTCTCTGGCTCCAAACATCTTCCATTACCGTGCTGTAGTAATTCGTCTATAATTCATCCTGAATGTTTCCCCATCATCGCAGCCGACGGAAAATGTATGAATTCCTTTGAACCATTTCTTCTTTTTTCTGCACGATTTTCTATCACGTCTATGTTTTATCGCTTCTCAAATAAAACTGCACTTTATTCTATTTTTTTTCTTTTGTAGGCGTGTCGTATTCACGATCGTTACCTACACCTCGAGAAAACTGTACCCTCGGACCAAGAGAGCAGGGAAATACGGTAATGGGCTTGATCGCTTCATCTTCTTGTTGGTTTATTTACTACTATTTCGTAGCGTGGAGGGGCAATTTGATAATTCTTTTGGTTCATGGGCAGTTGCCTCGGTGGTAGGACCTCCTATAAAGATACTGTGGAGCTAGTGCACTAGCATTAATGAGCAACACTTCTTGACAGAATGCCCTACCTTTGGCCCCTCGGACCAGAGGGCAAGGGAATACGTAATTCGATTCACTTTTCGTTGTTCATGTTCCACGAAGTACCCACACACAGTGAAATGTGCAACCTTACGGCACACAGAAAAGAGACCTACAAAAGAGCAAAATGTCCCCGCTGCGCTGAGCAGCATCTTTTCTGCCAATTAGCTCAATTTTGTTAATTATTTCAAGTTAGGTGATGAAGTTCCCCTCTACTATTTCAGGTTAGCGGTTATCTTGATGCAAGTCAAATCTACGGTTCTACACAAGAAGTTGTGGATAAGATGCGCTCATTCAAGGATGGTTGGTACCCAGACAGATGTTTCCCTTTGAACGCCCTATCGTCTCGACTAATTCATAGGACTTGTTCACATCGGATTTGAATTTTAGGCCAACTCAACCTTCGAATCTTATCAGCATCGCATGGTGGTCTTCCTGAAGCCGATGACAACGAGGAGTGTCGAAATCGGTCTCCTACGTCTCAGCCATGCTTTCTTGCTGGCAGTTCACGGTTTGAAACAATCCTTACTAAAGTAACTGAAGTATAATTTGCCATGTGTTAGCTGTCTATTCATTCAGAATCAATTTGTTGCCTTCGAATGCTGTCATGTACACAATATGGATGAGACAGCACAATTTCGTTGCAGATAACTTGAAGGTGAGTAATTAACCCAACTCCAAGCTACTGTAAGGAACTGGAATTACGCGTCTAGTTGCTTGGAGGCATACTGTACGCTACGTTCTCTTTCACGTGTGTAGCGGTGCACGCACGCTACGAATGCGCAACACGCTGCACTTCCATCTACACACACACACCTCGCTGTTTACTTTCTTAATCATTCGTCTGAGAGTGATTTCCAAAGTTTGCAAAAACAACAGTGGCTTCTCATGGAGCTACAAGCTGAAAGGCTAGTATAAGGCGAAATTGCTTGCTAAACAAGGTGGTCTTCAGGGAATGTGTTGCCAACTCACCGGCGTCAAACCCCTCTTAAAGGCACTTTCCGCGATAAACTAAGGCCATAGGCTTTAAAATGTGCCAAATGATCCCTCAGGCGATTGTAGGGGCTGTGGCACACCTAAAAACTCAAAAACTGCAGGATTTCGCGGGGAACCCTGCCATTTAGGCCCATTGGCGCCCCCTTACGCCCAAGACGGCCTCCAGAGGCCCATGTCCGTTGTGACGACGCGAAGGTGGCGTCGGCGAAATCCCGCGCATTTGTCGCTTGAAACTTC